GGGGGGGGGGGGGGGTGTTATGGTAATTGGTTAATCACGTTAAGGGTAATTCAGCAAGAAAGGAAATTCAGGTAAGGATTAGTTAGCAGAAAGCAAAATTAAAAAAGGACTGAATGGCAAAAAATATTTCCTTGGGTCTGCCCTATTTGCTTACCTATAAAGGCATCTTTTCCTTGCCATTCAAGGCAGATGGGAGAGAACTAAGAAACCCAGAAAAAGAGAATAGCTAAAATTTGAAAAAAAATTCACTGTTCCATTGAATACATTTCTAATTTTGTTTGAATTCCAACTTGCTTAAGGCAATCTTTGGTTCAGTGGGTGTGTGAGATGGTTTGAACTTGTTATTCTTTTAAAGTCTGGGTTGAGTTCTGGGTCAAAGTCACTATTTCATTGATTATTCTTGAGCTGATTTCACTATTCTATTGCTGAATCTGGGACTCTGTTCTGTTGCTGCTGCCTACTAATCCTTACTCCTTCTTGCTTTCCCCTTGTTCCCAGGTACTCATTCGACCTCAAATGACATGTTGAAATGGAAATGGGAATGTTGATGATACCATGTTTTACGGTAGTCTATTTCTGATTATTAGGTTTTGTACTCATGTGCTCCTTGTTAATTAACTTATGGCTATTTACCTCGTCCAGATTTTGGTTTAGGCATTTGAACAAATTCATTACATGTTACTGTATTTTGGTAGATGATTCGAGTGGTTGTAATACTCTATTAAAGCCCATGTTTAGTTTCAATGTTGATTAGTAGTAATTCTGACTTTAAGATGCATAAGATTGGCTGTTCTTTGAGCATGAAGTATGCTATGTTACAATACAGGAAAATCTCTTACTTGATTTAAGTGAAATCAGCCCGTGTTTGTTTTCTTTTCAAGGTTTAGAGTTAGGCAGCTCCAAGTCCATTGGTGACTTTAAATTGTTGATTAGTAATAAATGAAGTCTTTCTGAAACTTTAAAGTGTTTTCTTCTTGATGGAAATTCGAATTGGTGGCCTTCAATGATGAAACGACCTGCATATGAGTTGTTGATAATCAGGAACTGTATTTCAGCATGTATATTAGCATCCGGAATGTGTTTTGCATTGGCTTAAGGTCGTTGGTGTTTGATCAAACTCTAAATCTCCATAACAATGTATTTTACTTCAAGTATTAGTTTCAGATCTTGAAATTGGGCTGCCAACGTTGGCCCAGTTGTGATCGATTTCACCTTCTGCAATTAGATTAACAATTTGGGCTTCAGGATTGAGCCCAATTGTCTCTCGTGCTGGGCGGCCAGTCGTTGGGCTACGGCCATGTCCATTTTGATCCTTAGAGTTCGAGGTGTGCCATATAGCGAATTTTTCATGGCCCTCGTAAAGCGTGTAGTTGCTTTAGGCGCGCTATTTTAATAATTTTACTTTCATAAACTCGGATGCGCATTTCATGTGACCTAAATCAAATCTTAAAATGTTGAATAAAATATGTTTAGGATTGCTGGTGCATTTCATGTGGCGCGATCCAAAGACGTGTTTTAAACGATGTTCAATCTTCTTTATAAATAATTAAAAGCGGTTAAGGGTTTAAAATCTGCACACAAGTTCATAATTGATTAAAATCAGATAATTAAGCCGATTATAATAGTTGAGCGACCATGCTAGAACCACGGAACTCGGGAATGCCTAACACCTTCTCCCGGGTTAACAGAATTCCTTACTAGGATTTTTGGTTCGCGAACTGTTAAACAGAGTCAATTTTTCCTCAATTCGGGATTCAACCGGTGACTTGGGACACCATAAATATCTCAAGTGGCGAGTCTCAATCTTTAAATAAACAAATCCATTTCAATTGTCCTTTAATTGGAAAAACTCTTTTACGCCCTTCCAGGGGTGTAGGTAAAAAGGAGGTGTGACAGCTCTGGCAACTCTGCTGGGGATCGAACCCAAAATCTCTGGTTCAGGGTTCAAGAATTCAAGCTTAGAATAATTGTTATAGTTGGCTTTATCCATTATCTGATTTTGTTACATGATTCGAGCCTAATGTGTTAATTGATTGCTTTTACCGCTTTGATATTCGTGAACTGTATATAAATTGTTGCTAAATCCCTCTTCTTTCTGAGCCTTCTAAATCATGAAGAAGTGTGAACTTCATGTGACTTCTTTTCTGTTAGAGTCATATTCCAAATTTAGAACGAGGTTCAGACAAGTTGCAAAGCCGGCGAAGCTTCTGTATTCCCCATACGCTGCCCCCCTCGGCTCGAGCTGTCTGCTCGGGTAAGCCCCAGGTTTTAAACATAGTATAAACCCCAGGTTTTAAACCTAGTATAACAAGACCTTATGCCGGATCCCTAGTAGGAACGTTTGTTTGCATCATGTGCATTTTGACTTTAGAGATTCAACACAAGGTTTGGGTCTGTCTAGGACAGGTGCACCCAAAACAAAAAAACCATCCTGATGCATCCTACTTGCTACTTGTGCATTTATTTGCTTCGGACTTGTATGTTGACCAGCTTATGAAGGGAAAAGTCAAGGAAAGAGAAATAGCAGTATGAGCGGTAAAAAGAGTTAATCGCCTGTTCTAAAAAACCAATGTCCAAATAGTGTCGAAACTCTGCCGAATTTTCAAGAAAATGAAAAGGGAAAGAAAAGGAAAAGAAGAGAAAAGAGAAGGCTTTTGTTTTCAAAATAGCCTGTTTTATTTTAATAAGAGAAAAAATGTTTTTGTTTTGAGAGGTGGCTTTATTTATAAAATAAAAAAAAGACTCTTGTTTTCAAAATAGTTCGTCTTATTTGCCCGAACTACGCCAGTTTGATTCTCACAAGGTATGAGATACATAGAACCCCCATCGGGTCCAACTTCCCTTTTGCGAAAGTAGCCAAAAGAACAAAAAATTTTACTTTAATTTGAAAATAATTAGGGTGATGCCATTCTTGTCAGAAATAGCCGAATGTCCCTAAAAGGGCGTCGGAAGGCTGTTTTTGCAAGAACAACCACTTTTTCATTGTTAAAGGTTTTGGCTGGTTAGCTGACATAACCTTAAAATCTTCGTTTTTGAAGTGTTGAAAGGCCGTGTTGGTGAGGCCGGATGTTTTGTGGAAATTTTGAAAAATAGTCATTTCTCTTAAGTCAAAATGAGTCATGGTTTTCTTTTAATTAAAATCACCTTAATAAATGTGCAGGATGAGCACAAATCAAAATGAACCTTTCTCAGTCCGTGAAGAGATCCCTTTGGAGTTACATATATGGTGGCATGATTTGGGGGGCGACAGCAGGAAAGTTGTGACAAAAGCATTGGGCGGTCTTATTGGGCTTTTGAAGGTCAACCCCAGAAAAGACGTGATTGAGGCCTTGATACCGTTTTGGGACCCAGCACATAATGTGTTCCACTTTGCGGATTTCGAGTTAACTTCTATGCTAGAAGAGATAGCGGCTATGCCACTTTCAAAGGGAATCTCAGAAGTCAATACCCGGTAGCACCAAGAACAGTGACCCCCCACAAATTTTTGGATTTGTTAAGCATCAGTCGGGACATCCGAGACGGGAATCTGGCCAAAGGATTTTGTACCTTCTACTTTCTGTATCAACGTTATGGGAATCCTTGTGGCTTCGAAACACCAGATACCGGTCTTACTCACACTGGAAATCAAGACAAGTGGAAAGCTCGAAGAGGATTAGCTTTCATATTGGTGTTCTTGGGTATCTTGGTTTGCCCAAGAAAAGACAGGAACATAGAAATGGGGCTAGTAGGTATAGCCGACTTTATGATGAAAAAGGAAAATGGGACAATAGTGCCGCTGATCTTGGCAGAAATTTACCGAGCTCTCACTCTCTGCCGAGAAGAAGCAAAATTCTTTGAAGATGCAATATGCTATTACAAATATTGATGGAGGAACACCTTTGCTGCCGTCCTGGATACTTGAATTGCGGTATGACTGGCCTCGAGTGCATTGAAAAACATGAAAAACGAGTAGACGGTTATGAGTTTCCAGATGGTACGGAAGCATGGCATGCTCATCTGAGATCTCTGACCGCAAATAAGATCGAATGGACATTTGGTTGTCTTTTAGTCGATGAAGTAATCTATATGTCGGCTGAGGTGTGTTTTTTGCTATTGATGGGTCTTCGGAGTATCCATCCTTATGCTTCGCACAGAGTCTTACGTCAGTCAGGCCGATACCAGACCATCCCACACAATGAAAATTTGAGTCAGCAAGTCATTGAGTTAGATCCAAAAACTTCTTTCCCAGAAGAGAAAGTGCGCCAGATTTGGCATCAGTGCAAATTCTTAGGGCCTGATACTCAAGTACGAGACCTATCCAGAGGCGAGGTGGAGCCTAGTTATACTACTTGGTATGGTAAAAGATCCCGAGCTCAATATGAACCTGACAGGCCCGCAAAGAGGCCCCATGTCCAACAATTCACCGACGGAGCGCAAGTGCAATGGGATTGGCTAACCAAAGAAAACGAGTACAAGGCTACCATAAGAAAGTTTGGAAAGCAAGTTAGAGAACTTCAATTCGAGAATAGCTTGCAAGTGGCAGCGGATGAAGGAGAAGAGAAAAAGCTAGCCAAAGAAAATGAGGCCCTTCGAGCTCAAATTCAGAAATTGAAAGTAGCGGCAGAAAATCCAGTCCGAAGTGACAGAGATGAAAAGCTCATAGCTAACCTGAGGCAAGAAAGTGAGTGACTATAGTTTCGATTTGAACAAAATAGAAAATGAGCGAGCCAAGGGTCAAAAACAATTGGCTAAGAACGCAGACGAACGGGTACGCCTGGTTAAGCAGTTGAGAGAAAGGTACGATGATGAGGTCACATGGTTAAAGAAAAGGGTCATCGCCACGGAAAACAAAATGATCAAACAAGAAAAGACTTCAAAGTTGAAAGGGAACATTGCTATACAAAATTGGCACAATTAGAAATAGATTTGTAACAACTTCAGGAGCAAAATCATGCGGATGAGCAAACTTTGGAAGCCAGGGCCCAGCAGATTGGGCAGTTGTTACAAGAAAAGGGCACCATAAGAGAGAGAATTAGAAGCATTGCCGATTACTTCGTTATGAAGTGCTAGATTTTTGAGGATATGACCCGCACTACTTTCTTTGCAGCAGTAATGACAAGTGTCAAGCAGACAATGAACGACTTGGATCAACTTCAAAGGGAGCTTGCATATAGGCCCGCAGCAAGACCGAATGATGTACCGCGGGCACCAGGAGCATTGATGTATTCATGATTTTTTTGCTTGAGTCTGTATTTCCCTTTTGTTAAGCGTCCGTCAGTCATGTTGAATTTTCTTTCTGCTAGAGTCCGTCAAATTGTTTTCGAGTCTGTATTTTCTTCTGTTGGAATATGATGTCTATTTTTGGAGTCTGTATTTCATTATTGCATTTGTAGTCTTTTGGAATTTGTTATTTTTGAGTTTTGTAATGGAAGCATTTATTTTTTTATGAAAACTGAAAATCCCAAAAACATTTTATTTCGCACTTATCCCCAAGAACTACGCTTGGTCTGATTCATGCGGGGTCATGATACGTAGGCAATCTCCATAGGATTTGACCGTAACCAAATAATAATAAGAAGAAGAGAGAAAGAAATAAGAGGAAAAACAAGAGAGTAAAGAAAAGAAAAGAGCGGAAAAACAAGAAAGAAAAGAGAGAAAATAAAATCAAAAGAGAATAAAAACAAAGAGAGAATGAAAGGAAAGAAAAGAAAAAGAAAGAAAAGGGGGAGGTTTGCAATATAAGGTAAGAAAAGGCCGGAATGACGCATGCAACCGATCAAATACATAATAGAGACGGTTAACTGTTTAGGTGCATTCGTGCCCAATGTGCGGTTACCAATCTGTTAAAGCCTAATCGCTAACAAGATTGCTGTTT